CGCCCCGAGGATCTCTTTTAATATCTCTTGCAAGGCTGGTTTCATGATCACAAATTCTTTTAGTTTCCGTTTGTCCTAGAAGCTTTTTATCTCTCCCATTTTGAATGACATCATAGCTGGATAAGGTATTCTTGGCTGCGTATTTTTCTCATTTAGCATCCTGAATATATCATACTTGTCCTTTCCGGCCTGCCAGGTTTCTGTGGATAGGTTTGTTCCCAATCTAATGTTTCTACCCTTGTAGTTTATGGACCTCTTTTCCTGAGCTGCTTTCAGGTTTTTCTCTTTGTCTCTGAGATTTGCAAATTTCACTGTTATATGGCAGAATGTTGACCTTTTTTATTGATTTTGAGGGGGGGGGTCTCTGTGTCTTCTGGGCTGGAGTGCCTGTTTCCTTACCCAGATTAGGGAAGTTCTCTGCTATAATTTGCTCCAATATACCTTCTGCTTCTCTCTCTTCCTCTTCTTCTTGGATCCCAATTATTCTAATATTGTTTTGCTTTATGGTATCATTTATCTCTCAAATTCTTCCCTTTTTCTCTCTTTTTCAGTGGTTATTCATCTCTTTTTTTCTCAACTTCTTTATTTTCCATTATTTGGTCTGCTATATCATGAATTCTCTCTTCTGCCTCATTTATCCTAGCAGTTAGAGCCTCTGTTTTTTATTACATCTCATTAATAGCCTTTTGATTTCAACTTTATTTGATTTTAGTTCTTTTATTCCTCCAGAAAGAGATTCTCTAGTGTCCCCTATGCTTTTTCTATACACCAGGTTTGGGGTGTATTTTGGTCTCTTTGTTAAAAGAAACTGTATCCCACAATTGTAAAGAAAGGAAAACTTATGTATACATAAAATAAAATTAAATACAGTGAAAGTATAGAATGTAAGTATAAAAAGGAAAATTTCAAAATATTTTTAAAAAAGGAGTTAATAAAATAAGAAATTGGTTGAAAAAGGAAAGAGAAAAAATTAAAATGGAAAGACTAAAGAATGGGGGGTGGAAAGCCATTAATTCTATATACTGTTTCCCCCTAGTGCTGGAGTTGTGCAGTTCTCTATAATGGGTAAACTTGGTCTTAGTTGGATGTTCTTGTTGATCATCTTGGGCGGGGGGTCTGTTGCACTGATTCTCAGGTGTCTTTGCCTTAGGCAGAATTGCAGCACCCTTGCCAGGGGCAAGGCTAGATCAGTGGCTCCAGGTTGCTCTGTGTGGCTTTTGTTTCCTGAAGGTTTTCTGTGCAGCTTTAGAGGATGAGAATGAAAATTGCGGTCTCCCCATCTCCAGCCCTGGAGCCAAATGCTCAGGCCCCACTCCTCAGTGTGTCCTTAAGGAAAAGCAGTCAGTCACTCATGTCTCTCTGATCTACAGCCACACTTGTGCTCACCTGGCCTGTGACAGAATTTCGTCTCAGGCTCACAACCCTGTTTCGAGTCTCCAGACCCTGCAGACTCCTGAGGCACACTCCTGAGCCACTCCTCTTGGTGGGAAGGGGGTATCTTGCAGGTTCTGCTGCTTGCTGGGCTCCTGCTTGGACAGTAGTCGCTGGACCACTATTTGTGGTTTATGGTTTATGGCAACCCCGAGCTGAGAGCCCACTCCTGGGTTGCTAATTGCAGCTGGCTTTCCCTGCTCTGATACCTGGGACCTCTGCCACACTCAGGCATCTCTGGTCTTCCTGTGATCTTGGGGATCCTGGGGATCCTGTTCCACCTAGGATTCTGCCCTGCTTTGCCATCAGAGCACCTCTCAGGCAGAGACATCCCTCACTGGAACAACCTTTTAAAAGTTCTGATTTTGGGCTCTGCTGCTCCCTCTGCCTGCAGTTTATCTTCCTATAGATTGCCTCAGAGTACTGTCTCTGCACCTCCTACCTTGCAGAAAGTGGTTGTTTTTCTATTGGTGGAGTTGTGGCTATTCTTTTCTTAGGTCTCTTGTTGAGTTTGCAGGTGTTCAGAATGATTTGATAGCTATCCAGCTGAATTGCTGGGACCATACAAAACTAAGGTCTCCCACTCCACCGTCTTGGACTATGCACACTGTCCTTTTTTAATGCTTTTTGCCTTGATTCATCTTTCTTTGAAAGTAATATGGTCACTTCTGCTTTTTCCTTTACATGATAACTTTTGATCATCCTTTTCACTTTAATATTTGTATGTAATTTTATTTTAAATGTCTCCCCTAGAAGGCATATGTAATTAGATATTTAATTTCAAAATATTTGTCTTAAACAGAGGAATATAAGGTATGGTTTTGTAATGGATATGTATTTTTTTCTATCATTTTGTTTTATGCTTTCTGGCTAATTAAAAAAATTGTCTTGCAATAGAGATTATATTTTCTATGCCTGTTTCTTCACTTATTTGAAAGTTAAACATTGTTTAACTTATATTTTTAATATTTAAGACAAAAAATGAAATGAGTTTTGTTAGGTCTTTCCTACATATGGTAAGGATTGATCCTGTTTATCCTTTCTCCTGGGGATTGCCCATCTTCCAGGCTTTGTTTATACAATCTGAAATTTCAGTTTTAGGATTCAGTTGTTATACCTGTTACTTCTTAAATCATTTATCTCTTATTTCAAGTAAGCTTTTTTGACATTTATATCTATTTTGTTAGGATGTTTAAATTAACATATTTATTTAGGCTTAATCCTAGGTTTAAATAGTCTTACTGTTCAGCATTAGTCCTTTTATACTATGATTTTTCCATACTTGAATTTCAACATTATGACTTTTTAAATATACATGTTTTTAAAGTAGTTTCCATGTCTAGCATGGAGCCTGATGCAGGGCTTGAACTCACAGCCTTGAGATCAAGACTTGAGCTGAGATCAAGAGTCAGATGCTTAACTGACTGAGCCACCCAGGTGCCCCTTTAAAAAAATGTTTTTAATGGCACATGAAGACTAAATACTCCAAACCCTGAGATATCTCAGCATATCTTTAATTTGTCTTCATTAAGCATGCAGTGGGAGGAAAGAGGGGTTGATTGTCTTCTTTTCTCTTTCTCTGTTGTATTCCTCTCTTTTGAGTTTGCTCGCTGGTCTTGGAACCTCTGGTCTTAGAGGGCTTGGTTTGTGGGGAGCATTGGTGAAAGAGGTCTTACTTGATCAGATACTGATGAAACAAAACTTCATGCTCCTTAACTCTGGCAATTGTTTCTAGCTTATGCTTTGTCTCCAGGGCAGTTTTGTGGTTTCTCTGGGGATCTCCCATCCTTGAGATCTTCTTCAGGCAGAACTCCAGTGGAGTCATTTCTAGCCTGAGTATTTATTTGCAATTCCTCCCACAGCTCCTAGGATGATTTCCACCCCCCAGCTTCCTGCTTCTGCCATTCTTTGGCTTCTCACAGATGCACCCAAAAGGTCAAAATCCAGTATGACCCCAGACCAACACTCTCTCCCCTTCAGCTCATATGTGGTAGCCCCCATATGTTTATCCCTGCCACAAAAAAGGACTAGACAGATCCCAGAAGAGACACCAGTATTCTGGGTCTGGCCCCCTTGCTTCCTCCTGTATGAACCCAGCATTAGTCCTCACCATCTCACATGTAAAAGGTACATTTAAGGCTGGCCTCCAGGAAACTTCTGTCCTGACACCCAAGACAAATGCAGCATTGTCTACCTTTCCTCTTCACGGGGTTGGGTGGGGTTGGGGATTGAGGGAGTCACTCAGCACAGAAAAGCACTCTTCTCTACAAATAAATCTTTCTCTTACCCCTCTCAACCCTTTTCTATTCTTGTAGTGGTTGAAAGGGTTCTAGACCAGTTCCAGACAATTTACTTTGTAAATATGCCTATAGTATCGGTGTCACATTCACTTTGAAATCTGGTATCATTCTCATTGGAACCTCAGTTGAGACTGAGTTAAAAAGAATTCTGTTCTTAACATTTCGTTTCATACAGATTACAACTTCTAGTCCAATATCCAGTGTTCTGCATACTGAATGTGACTCCTATCATTAAGGGTCATTCTTAACAATGCAAAACACCAAATCCCATGATAACCAGCATCTCCTGCTTTGAGGACTTCCTCATAAAGCCTGATCCTAAGATGCAATTTCCTGGTTTCTCTGGCAATCCCCATTATAGGGGCTGCTTGCGCATATCTCTCTCATTTGAGGGAGCATTTCTAGCCTGATTGGTAACTTTCAGTTTTAATTACCTTCTTGTCACCTGGGGACTCAGGGTCTTGACTAGACAGCTGAGCCACCACCCTTCAGTTGCATGGGTACTGAGTAACAGAGACATTTTCCTTCATCCTGCCTTTGCCCTCTTTAAAACTACATGGCAGGAAGTGGGCAGGGTGACCAGAAGAGGTAGGTGGGGCACACCAGACACAGCTAAGTGCTTTACTTTGGCTATCTCATTTAATCCTCACTTAATACTTGGGGTTCCACTATTTGCATTTTACAAAGGTGGGGAAAGGCTTAGGAGTTAAACAGTGTGTTTAAAATCACACAAATCCTAAGTGCTAGACATAGACTCAAAAGGACAGTTCCTTCTGACACCAAAATGAATGTACCCTTTCAATCCTGGCTATATACTAGAGTCCACCAGAGAGTTTTAAAAATACCAGTTTTCTGGTCCCTTTTTGGGAACAATTAAATTAGAGCCCACAAGAGATGGAGTTTGGGCATCAGTATGTGCTTAAAACTCTCCAATGATTTGGGCGCTTGGGTGCTCAGATGATAAGTGTCTGCTTTTAGCTCAGGCCACGATCCCAGGGTCCTGGGATGGAGCCCCACATCAGGCTCTCTACTCAATGGGGAACCTGCTTCTCTAACTCCTACTCCCCCTGCTTGTGTTCTCTCTCTCTCTCTCTCTCTCTCTGTCAAATAAATAAATAAAATTAAAAAAAAAAACCAACTGTCCACTGATTCTAATGTGCAGCCAGGTTTCAGGCCACTGCTGGACATCCTGTCTCCAAACTATTAGCCATGTATGCGATCGCTTCATTCATATTATTTCCCCTTCGTATTTTTTTTCCCCTTCAAAAGTCAGAGAGTGCGTGGTTGCCCGTCTATATCAGAGCTGGCTTTCCTAATCAGATTCCAAGAGCCGCATTCATGGCCATGTTTACTCTGGAAGTGGATCAGTTCATCCTGACCTCCCTGACTCCATCCGTTCTGGACTGTGAAGAGGACGAGACCCCCAAGCCCTTGCTGGTGTTTAATATCACCAAATCTCCACTGGACGGCTATGTGACGCATCTGTGGGATCACACCAGACCGGTCTCCTCGTTCACCTGGAAGGATCTAAGTGACCTGCAGATAGCCTATCAGCCGCCGAGCAGCAGCCATTCTGTGCGGAGACATTATGAGGTAAGAAGAAAGGGAGATAAAGCGTCTAACCTGTCTGGTATCCACAGTCGGTGAAGATGCAGGCACTTCTCGTCACCTTCAGGTGAGTTTGTACCCTCAGTGCCCCAGAAGAGAATCAGTCACTGTAAATCTGGAGGCAGACTCAAATGCTTAGAGGAGCTGGGCATGTGATGCAAATGAGGAGACTAAGCAGGGGGAGGGGATGGGAGAGGGAGACTGAGGGGAGGCAGCTGCCCCTGCGCCAGTGATTGCTGCCTTGTGTGAATACAGACAAATCAGGCCAGGGTAGCCTTAGCTCTTGTTCTTCAGAGGAGTTGGAGATCTGTAAATTTTTCTTTTATTTTGTAAAAATGTTTCAATTTTTAAATACAGGATACATATTAAAAATTCTAAAACATATTGTGGCACCTACAAAATATTTCTGAGGGCCACATTTGGCCCAGAGGTCACTGGTTTGAGAACTCTGGTGTCCTTGACGGCCTTTATGCATGCCATAGACCATGGGAGTTAAAGATGACTTTGTCTACAATCCTTTCATTAACAAATTCTTTTTATTTTAGAGATTTAAATTTATTCATTTGAGAGAGAGAGAGAGAATAAGCACAAGTGGGAGGGTTAGGGGGAGGGAGAGACAATCTCAAGTAGACCTCACGCTGAGTGTGGAGCCCCACATGGGGCTTGATCCCGTGACCCTGAGATTATCACTTGAGCTGAAACCAAGAGTCGGACTCTCAAGCCACTGTGCCACGCAGGCACCCCTCATTAATAAATTCTGTTATTCCTTCTTGTTTGTAAAAGTATTTTACTGGGATCCTTACTTTTATTTTTATTTTTTTTTAAAGGTTTTTATTTATTTATTTGACAGAGAGAGAGACAGTGAGAGAGGGAACATAAGCAGGGGGAGTGGGAGCAGGAGAAGCAGGCTTTCCGCTGAGGAGGGAGCCTGATGCAGGGGCTCAATCCCAGGACCCTGGGATCATGACCTGAGCCAAAGGCAGACTCTTAACTACTAAGCCACCCAGACACCCTGGGATCCTTAATTTTAATGAATAACCCTGACTCAGGGTAGGAGATTCCATAATCTCATTAGATGACTAAGTTCTCTATCAAACACTTTCCTGTCAGAAAAGTCCCCTTCCTGTCTAATCTCAGTACCTTCTGCTGTTCTTCTAGCCTCTTCCCTCTAATTTTGTTTTGGATGGGAGTTGAGAACAGCTGGTGACAGTCTTGCACATAATAACCTCCACAAACTTGCAGACCTACCGGCAAGTTGATTGAAACAGGATGGAATGTTTGCATGAGCAGATTGACACAGACCTGACTTCAGGTTTATTAAGGAAAATGAGTGTGCCTGCCGTTCCAAATTGCCCTCCGTCTAATTTAGGCATTTTCAGCATTTAGCCTCCAGGGAAGACAAAAGACTTGACTGTAAGTGCCATGTTTTTGCCCTTTGCTTTGCTTTTCTTCACTTCATCATAGTAAGTGGCAGCCATTTTTTTCTTTTTTCCTTTCGCCTCCCATTCCTTTTGTATTACCGGGTCATTACTCATTAGATGTCCAGTTTTACCTCAAACTCCTAAATAAAGCACAGCTCCTCTGGTTGCTTTCTGTGTGTCTTTTCTGGCATGGTATAATGTGATCCTAAAGCAGAACCTGGTCAAATGTGTGATTTTGTCATTGCTGTTAGAAGGTGACTCTCAGTTTTCTCAGTGATTAGGCGCTTTGCAGATTCTGTGGGCTGGAAGTCCTGGGCTCCTTCAGCCACCTGAGGTAGGACTCCTGAGGCCAGCGCAATTACCCATGCTCTTGAAGCTAGCCAAGCATTCCCTGGACTCTAGTGTCAAGGCGGTCCATTCTTTCAGCCATGCAAATTCAAACTCGTTTTACCAGGTACCCTGTTGGTTTGAGAACAGCGTTTCTTAGTGAGCACGTAAGTACAATTTCAGATGGCTCAACCTAACAGATACTGACGTTCTACCTCCAAAGACATCCCCACCTGGGTGTGGTTCCATTTTTAGTCTGTTACTTTGGCCCCCTTGAACCTGTTTCTTTGGTGGGGTAGTATCTGCTGATATGCTGCCATTTGAGAATTTATCCTCTCTGGTGGACCAAATGGCGATTCAGTGTCAAATGGACATTCTTCAAAAGTAGGCACATGCCTTGCATTTCTGTCTTATATGCCATCCTTCCCTGTCAGCACCTGGTACAATATGTGCATAATACATAAGAAAGTTCAAAACTTAATGGGATAAAATCTTAAAAAAAAAAAAAAAAACAACTTAATGGGGCACTGGGCGGCTCAGTTGGTTAGGAAAGAGTCTACCTTCGGCTCAGGTCATGATCCCAAGGTCCTGGGATGAAGCCCTGTATCGGGAATCTCCGCTCAGCAGGGGGTCTGGTTCTCCCTCTCACTCTCTCTGTCTCTCTGTCTCTCAAATAAAGAAATAAAATCTTTTTTAAAAAATAAAATCTAATCTAAAAATAAAAAGATTTTATTTTTTAAAAAAGATTTTATTTCTTTATTTGAGAGACAGAGAGAGATCGCAAGTAGGCAGAGAGAGAGGGGGAAGCAGGCTATCCACTGAGCAGAGAGCCCGATGTGGGGCTCAATCCCAGGACCCTGAGATCATGACCTGAGCTGAAGGCAGAGGCTTAACCCACTGAGCCACCCAGGCACCCCAAGAAATAAAATATTTATGAAAAACCTTCTCATATAGCCCCATTTATTAGCTATGGATTTCATGGAAGCGAATAAAATCTGGATATTTAAAAATATGTTTGGAAAGATAGATGCCTCTAGGGTCTCTTAAAAGCAGCACCAGTGGCATTTTGCCCTGGCTGATTCTTTATTATGCGGGCTGTCCTGTGTGTGGTAGCTTGTAGGAGCATCCCTGGCCTCTGTCTACTATTTAGTGGCCGGTAGGACCGCCTACCATGCATACCTATTTGTGAGATCAAAAATGTCTTTAGACATTTTCAAGTGTCCCCTGGGGGAATAAAGCCTCCCGCAGTTAAGATTCACTGCTTTGGTCCTTGTACCTTTGGGAGAGGCTCGAGTGGCCCGAGGCTGGTCTCTTGAGCAATTACAGGGACCCTTTTTCACCGTATTCACCTATTTGAGGCTAAAAGTTTCTTTTATGGAGAGGAAAATTTAACAATACTGCTAACTAATGAACAAAATCTAGAGCCTGAAAACATGAGATCTGGTTGTTGAAAATGACATCAGGCGGGGCGCCTGATGTGGTTCAGTCGGTTAAGCATCTGACTCTTGATTTCCGTGCAGGTCATGATCTCAGGGTCCTGAGTCTGAGCCCCATGTCAGGCTCCTCACTCAGCGGGAAGTGTGCTTCTCTCCCTCTGCCCCTCCCCCTGTGCTCGCTTGAGCTCTCTCTCTCTCTCTCTCCCTCTCCCTCTAAAATAAATAAACCAATCTTTCTTTTTTTTAAAATAAATAAACCAGTCTTTAAAAAAATGAGTTATGGCTTCAGCAGAAACCTAACCTTTTGCCTCCCACTGTGGTGTCTGCCCCAGGAATAGTGGTATTTTATGCTCTAAACTGTCAATGTGTGATCCATAGACAACTGTTTGTTTGCAGCTGGAGGTGGAGGTTTATGATTTCTTCTTCGAGAGGAGTGCACCGATTACAGTCCACATCTCCATCAGAACAGCAGATACCAACGCCCCGCGGGTGTCCTGGAACACAGGTGAAGCTCCGTGGAGGGTGTCAAGTCACAGAGGCCCAAAGGGAAGATGGGAAAGTATATGGGTCAGGGAAGAAAGGTTGTTTTCTTCCCATTTCGCACAAGAGGCAGCTGAAACCCAGCCCAGTGAAGGCAATCAGATAGTTGTTTTTGTTTTGTTTTTCCTACTAGCAGGGTGAGAAATTTATATCCAGGATTCCTGTGTGGGGAAGCCAAGTTTCTCCTCTGGAAGAAATAAGCCAGAAGGGCACCTTTCAAATGAATGAGGCAAAAAGTGACTACTTGGGAGACTGAGATATAGTTGGGACAGAGAGCAAAAAGGTGTCCTACCACTGTTCAGAAGGAGGGAAGGAAGCGGTAGACTAATTCATTGTCCTGTTTTTAAGACAGGCAAGGAAGCCACAATGCAGGAATAAAGAGCTTAAAGTGCTTTATTTTAAAAGAAGGTCACTTCTGAGTGGTCTTTAATGCAATGTAATTATTTAGATCAGATGTAAATGTGGAATGTAAATGAGGATTTTTCTCCTTTCCCATTGATCTCATTGACAGCATTTAAAATATACTTGTAAGTAGTGGCCGTAGGTTCTGTTAAGGGAAAACATCTCTGTCTGATTTAAATCCCCACGTGGTGGCTTAAACTTGTTGCCCTGTGTGTGTGTGTGTGTGTGTGTGTGTGCGCACCCTTGCATGTGGGTACACACACACACACACACACACACACACACGTGTTTGCATGTATGTGAGTTTCAGTCATGAGAATATTGGTTGAGCAGTCTTGTGTTTCTCTGTCCTACTCTACCTGTTAGAGGGATAATGAAAGAAAAGAAGGAATTGATAACTTGAAGTTTAGTAACAATCCTATATTAAATGAATTATTGCTTCAGATAAAGACTTAATAGTATGTGTGATCTGTGAAACCCAAGCTTGTTAAGAGTGCTCCAGATCTGGTTTTGACTACTTGGGACATGACAATTTTTTTTAAAATCAATTTTTAGTTATGATGAACTTAATATATGTTCATCACTGAAAACTTGGCAAGTACATTAAGCAATAAATTGAATGAATGGATGGATAATAATAATGATACTAATAATGAATGGTTAGTAATGAATAAATGATTGAAATGGTAATGAATGAACAAAATCATTTATTACTCCATCATGAAGACAGAACCACTCTTAATATTTTGCTGTCTATACTTCTAGTCTTGCTTGTTCTTCTGCTGTGTCCCATGATGCCTTGGATTATGCTGTACCATACACTCATGGCTTCAAAACCCTTATTACCAATCACAGAGATTTTTTTTTTTATAGGCTCCACACCCAGCATGGCGCCTAGCACGGGTCTTGAACTCACGACCCTGAGGTCAAGAACTGAGCAAAGACCAAGAGTTGGACACTTAACTGACTGGGCCCCTCAGGCACCCCTCACAGAGATTCTTTATATGTGCTTGTTTTCCCTCCCTTCTTTCCTCCCTTCTTTCTTTCCTTTCTTCCTCCCTCCCATCTCTCTCTTTCTCTCTCTCTCTCTTCAGACTGTATGGCTCTCCCCAGGTTCCCCAGCCAACAGCCCTTGAGGCAGGTCATATACTAACCCTATACCCAAACAAGAATGAGGGGGATTGGAGGTTGTGAGGAACAAATAAAAAAGTTGACATGACTAAGTTGGTGAGAAAGTGAAGTTGACTACTCCCTCATGCTGGTGTCTCCAGGAGGAGACGAAGCCACTGTGTGTGGGAAGAGTCAGAATTGGGCTGGGGAAAGGGTGAATAGTCTCTCTCTTAACTCCTTCCCATCTCCTGTCTCACTGTGGTCAGTTTGCCCCACAAGATGTCAGCTCCTCACATGTCCATGATGAGCTACCTGGCCCCTCTTTGCTGATGCAACAGAAACTCCCTGGGTCCCCTGGTGTAGGTAGGACCTGGCTGTGGTCACAAGAGTGGGTCATGCCACAACCTGGCCCTTGACCAAGAGGACAGCTGAGGTAACCAGCCACATCAGAAGATGAGGCAGTGGTGGCAGCCAGGACTTCACAGTTGTGGGGACTGTGGGGCCCCCAATGGGGCTGTTGCTTTGAGAAAGCACATGCATGGTCACAGCTGGCAAGAGGGGATGGGGAGAAGCTGGCCAGGTTTGAAAGGGAGTGTCATCAGGTCCACCAGTACACTGCTTTTAAGTTTTATCAATTTGTTTCCTTAAAAAGCATTGCTCCCTTTTATTTTTTTAATTTTAATATTTTTAAAAGATTTTATTTATTTTTTTGAGACAGAGATCACAAGCAGGCAGAGAGGCAGGCAGAGAGAGAGGAGGAAGCAGGCTCCCTGCTCAGCAGAGAGCCCCATGTGGTACTTGATCCCAGGACCCTGAGATCATGAACAGAGCCGAAGGCAGAGGCTTAACCCACTGAACCACCCAGGTGCCTGCTTTGCTCCCTTTTTGTATTCTTTGCAATAGGTCAGTTCCTGGATCTCCTGGATAATGGCATTGGCAGTGATGCTCAGCTCCCCATTTTTCACTGAAGTGTTCCATCCAGTGTCTGTATTCTGGCTGCTCTGAGCAGCACTTACCCTCTCCCCAGATTTCCTCCAGCATGCTGGGTGCAAGGAGAAGATTTTATTTCATTTCCTTTAGTTACAAAAGTCCCTTTGTTAGAGTCCAGAATAAAATTCAGCCGTCATTGCAGAGTGTCAGACTCTTCATGTCTAATACTGCTAAACGCTCCGCTAGTGTAGTAGCTCTGTATTTGCATGGTTACCCACTTTACATTCTCTGTCCTATGGGCTACTCTTGCACTCATAACATATGGAAAAGCTTTTCTGATTATTTTGCCTGCTTAAAATATTTGGATTCATCTTTGAAAAATTCCTTGTAGACATTTTTGAACTAGAGACCACTGTGAACGTAACATCTATTCTTTCCTTTAGTATTTATTTTCTGGACCACCATGTCTCCAATGGATATATAAGGAACAAGTTGTGAGTTTGGGGTTAATAGTATTAAAAGAAGAAATATTATGAGGCACCTGGGGGTTCAGTTGGTTAGCTGTCTGCCTTCATCTCAGGTCATGGTCCCAGGGCCTGGGGTCGAGCCCTGAGTCAGGCTTGCTGCTGGGTGGGGAACCTGTTTCTCCCTCTCCCACTCCCCTTGTTTGTGCTCTCTCTCTCTTTGTCAAATAAATAAAATCTTATAAAAAAGTAGAAATATTGCTAAAAATATGGGGTGCCTGGGTGGTACAGTTGGTTAAGCATCTGACTCCTGGTTTCAGCTCAGGTTATGATCTCAGGGTCATGAGATCAAGCCCCACATGTGACTCCACACTGAGCATGGAGTCTGCTTGAGATTCCTGCTTCCTCTTCCTCTGCCCCTCCCCTCTACACACTCGCTCTCTCTCAAATAAATAAATAAATCTTAAAAAAAGAAATATTACTAAAAATAAAAGCTAAATTCCAATTTCTTGTAAAGCTTTCAAAGATACAATTTTCAGCTAGTTTCGTGACTGAAAATTTATTAATCTTGTCTTAAAGTAGACACGTTGGCATGTCATAGAACTTTCCAGGACACTTGTCTGTTTTCTCTTATAGGTCTGAGTCTTCTAGAGGGCCAGTCTCGGGCCATCACTTGGGAGCAGTTTCAGATTGTCGACAACGATGACATCCATGCTGTCCGGCTGGTCACCGTGGGCGGCCTGCAGCATGGACGGCTTACACTAAGAGGTGAAACACCAGTTTCTTTGACCTCGAAGAGAATCTGAGCAGTGTTTTCTCCAAAGGCAGATCATATTTGACAGGATGTACATAGCATCTCTTGGGCCACATTTCTTTCTCTCTTTTTTCCCCAAGTTTTTATTTAAATTCTAGTTGATTAACATATAATGCAATACTAGTTTCAGAAGTAGAATTTAATGATTCATCACTCACTTATAACACCCAGTGCTCATCACAACAAGTGCCTTCCTTAATACACATCAGCCATGTAGCCCATCCCCCACCCACCTCCCCTCTGTTAATCCCGTTTGTTCTTTATAGTTAAGAGTCTCTTATTGTTTGCTTCCCTCCCTCCTTTTTTCCCCCTCTTCTCCTATGCTCATCTGTTTTGTTTCTTAAATTCCACACATCAGTGAAATCACCTACTTGTCTTTCTCTGAATGACTTATTTTGCTTAGTATAATACCCTCCATCCATGTCATTGCAAATGGCAAGATCACATCTTTTTTTGATGGCTGAGTATTACTTTATTATATATATATATATACCACAACTTCTTTTTTTTTAATTAAATTTTATTTTTTATAAACATATAATATATTTTTATCCCCAGGGGTACAGGTCTGTGAATCTCCAGGTTTACACACTTAACAGCACTCACCATAGCACATACCCTCCCCAATGTCCATAACCCCACCCCCGCCAACCCCCTTCCCCCCATCAACCCTCAGTTTGTTTAGTGAGATTAAGAGTCACTTATGGTTTGTCTCCCTCCCAATCCCATCTTGTTTCATTTACTCTTCTCCTACCCCCTTAACCCCCCATGTTGCATCTCCTCTCCCTCATATCAGGGAGATCATATGATAGTTGTCTTTCTCCAATTGACTTATTTCGCTAAGCATGATACCCTCTAGTTCCATCCACGTTGTCGCAAATGGCAAGATTTCATTTCTTTTGATGGCTGCATAGTATTCCATTGTGTATATATACCACATCTTCTTTATCCATTCGTCTGTTGATGGACATCTAGGTTCTTTCCATAGTTTGGCTATTGTAGACATTGCTGCTATAAACATTCGGGTGCACGTGCCCCTTCGGATCACTACATTCGTATCTTTAGGGTAAATTCCCAGCAGTGCAATTGCTGGGTCATAGGGTAGTTCTATTTTCAACATTTTGAGGAACCTCCATGCTGTTTTCCAGAGTGGTTGCACCAGCTTGCATTCCCACCAACAGTGTAGGAGGGTTCCCCTTTCTCCACATCCTCGCCAGCATCTGTCATTTCCTGACTTGTTCATTTTAGCCATTCTGACTGGTGTGAGGTGATATCTCATTGTGGTTTTGATTTGTATTTCCCTGATGCTGAGTGATATGGAGCACTTTTTCATGTGTCTGTTGGCCATCTGGATGTCTTCTTTGCAGAAATGTCTGTTCATGTCCTCTGCCCATTTCTTGATTGGATTCTTTGTTCTTTGGGTGTTGAGTTTGCTAAGTTCTTTATAGATTTTGGACAGTAGCCCTTTATCTGATATGTCATTTGCAAATATCTTCTCCCATTCTGTCAGTTGTCTTTTGGTTTTGTTAACTGTTTCCTTTGCTGTGCAAAAGCTTTGATCTTGATGAAATCCCAATAGTTCATTTTTGCCCTTGCTTCCCTTGCCTTTGGCGATGTTCCTAGGAAGATGTTGCTGCGGCTGAGGTCGAAGAGGTTGCTGCCTGTGTTCTCCTCAAGGATTTTGATGGATTCCTTTCTCACATTGAGGTCCTTCATCCATTTTGAGTCTATTTTCATGTGTGGTGTAAGGAAATGATCCAATTTCATTTTTCTGCATGTGGCTGTCCAATTTTCCCAACACCATTTATTGAAGAGGCTGTCTTTTTTCCATTGGACATTCTTTCCTGCTTTGTCGAAGATTAGTTGACCATGGAGTTGAGGGTCTATTTCTGGGCTCTCTATTCTGTTCCATTGATCTATGTGTCTGTTTTTGTGCCAGTACCATGCTGTCTTGATGATGACAGCTTTGTAATAGAGCTTGAAGTCCGGAATTGTGATGCCACCAACTTTGGCTTTCTTTTTCAATATTGCTTTGGCTATTCGAGGTCTTTTCTGGTTCCATATAAATTTTAGGATTATTTGTTCCATTTCTTTGAAAAAAATGGATGGTACTTTGATAGGAATTGCATTAAATGTGTAGATTGCTTTAGGTAGCATAGACATTTTCACAATATTTATTCTTCCAATCCAGGAGCATGGAACATTTTTCCATTTCTTTGCGTCTTCCTCAATTTCTTTCATGAGTACTTTATAGTTTTCTGTGTATAGATTCTTAGTCTCTTTGGTTAGGTTTATTCCTAGGTATCTTATAGTTTTGGGTGCAATTGTAAATGGGATGGACTCCTTAATGTCTCTTTCTTCTGTCTTGTTGTTGGTGTAGAGAAATGCAACTGATTTCTGGGCATTGATTTTATATCCTGACACTTTACTGAATTCCTGTACAAGTTCTAGCAGTTTTGGAGTGGAGTCTTTTGGGTTTTCCACATATAGTATCATATCATCTGCGAAGAGTGATAGTTTGACTTCTTCTTTGCCGATTTGGGTGCCTTTAATTTCCTTTTGTTGTCTGATTGCTGAGGCTAGGACTTCTAGTACTATGTTGAATAGCAGTGGTGATAACGAACATCCCTGCCTTGTTCCTGACCTTAGCGGAAAAGCTTTCAGTTTTTCTCCATTGAGAATGATATTTGCAGTGGGTTTTTCATAGATGGCTTTGATAATATTGAGGTATGTGCCCTCTATCCCTACACTTTGAAGAGTTTTGATCAGGAAGGGATGGTGTACTTTGTCAAATGCTTTTTCAGCATCTATGGAGAGTATCATATGGTTCTTATTCTTTCTTTTATTAATGTGTTGTATCACATTGATTGATTTGCGGATGTTGAACCAAACTTGCAGCCCTGGAATAAATCCCACTTGGTCGTGGTGAATAATCCTTTTAATGTACTGTTGAATCCTATTGGCTAGTATTTTGGTGAGAATTTTTGCATCTGTGTTCATCAAGGATATTGGTCTATAGTTCTCTTTTTTGATGGGATCCTTGTCTGGTTTTGGGATCAAGGTGATGCTGGCCTCATAAAATGAGTTTGGAAGTTTTCCTTCCATTTCTATTTTTTGGAACAGTTTCAGGAGAATAGGAATCAGTTCTTCTTTAAATGTTTGGTAGAATTCCCCCGGGAAGCCATCTGGCCCTGGGCTTTTGTTTGTTTGGAGATTTTTGATGACTGTTTCAATCTCCTTACTGGTTATGGGTCTGTTCAGGCTTTCTATTTCTTCCTGGTTCAGTTGTGGTAGTTTATATGTCTCTAGGAATGCATCCATTTCTTCCAGATTGTCAAATTTGTTGGCATAGAGTTGCTCATAGTATGTTCTTATAATTGTCTGTATTTCTTTGGTGTTCGTTGTGATCTCTCCTCTTTCATTCATGATTTTATTTATTTGGGTCCTTTCTCTTTTCTTTTTGATAAGTCTGGCCAGGGGTTTATCGATCTTATTAATTCTTTCAAAGAACCAGCTCCTAGTTTCGTTGATTTGTTCTATTGTTTTTTTGGTTTCTATTTCATTGATTTCTGCTCTGATCTTTATGATTTCTCTTCTCCTGCTGGGTTTAGGGTTTCTTTCTTGTTCTTTCTCCAGCTCTTTTAGGTGTAGGGTTAGGTTGTGTACCTGAGACCTTTCTTGTTTCTTGAGAAAGGCTTGTACCGCTATATATTTTCCTCTCAGGACTGCCTTTGTTGTGTCCCACAGATTTTGAACTGTTGTGTTCTCATTATCATTTGTTTCCATGAATTTTTTCAATTCTTCTTTAATTTCTTGGTTGACCCATTCATTCTTTAGAAGGATGCTGTTTAGTCTCCATGTATTTGGATTCTTTCCAAATTTCCTCTTGTGATTGAGTTCTAGCTTCAGAGCATTATGGTCTGAAAATATGCAGGGAATGATCCCAATCTTTTGATAGCAGTTGAGACCTGATTTAGGACCGAGGATGTGATCTATTCTGGAGAATGTTCCATGTGCACTAGAGAAGAATGTGTATTCTGTTGCTTTGGGATGAAATGTTCTGAATATATCTGTGATGTCCATCTGGTCCAGTGTGTATCATTTAAGGCCTTTATTTCCTTGTTGATCTTTTGCTTGGATGATCTGTCCATTTCAGTGAGGGGAGTGTTAAAGTCCCATACTATTATTGTATTATTGTTGATGTGTTTCTTTGATTTTGTTATTAATTGGTTTATATAGTTGGCTGCTCCCACGTTAGGGGCATAGATATTTAAAATTGTTAGATCTTCTTGTTGGACAGATCCTTTGAGTATGATATAGTGTCCTTCCTCATCTCTTATTATAGTCTTTGGCTTAAAATCTAATTGATCTGATATAAGGATTGCCACTCCTGCTTTCTTCTGATGTCCATTAGCATGGTAAATTCTTTTCCACCCCCTCACTTTAAATCTGGAGGTGTCTTCGGGTTTAAAATGAGTTTCTTGTAGGCAACATATAGATGGGTTTTGTTTTTTTATCCATTCTGATACCCTGTGTCTTTTGATTGGGGCATTTAGCCCATTAACATTCAGGGTAACTATTCAGAGATATGAATTTAGTGCCATTGTATTGCCTGTAAGGTGACTGTTATTGTATATTGTTTCTGTTCCTTTCTGATCTACTACTTTTAGGGTCTCTCTTTGCTTAGAGGACCCCTTTCAATATTTCCTGTAGAGCTGGTTTGGTGTTTGCAAATTCTTTCAGTTTTTGTTTGTCCTGGAAGCTTTTAATCTCTCCTCCTATTTTCAATGATAGCCTAGCTGGATATAGTATTCTTGGCTGCATGTTTTTCTTGTTTAGTGCTCTGAATATATCATGCCAGCTCTTTCTGGCCTGCCAGGTCTCTGTGGATAAGTCTGCTGCCAATCTAATATTTTTACCATTGTATGTTGCAGACTTCTTTTCCCAGGGTGCT